CTCTCTTCATCTTTCTCGTTCTGTTGAACGAGTTCTCGCGTGCGCGGGCGTGGTACTGCACGTACTACTTATGCGAAAGGCGAATAAAACACACATATACACATACAAGAGCGCATACACGGCTCTCTCGAGCGGCATGTGCATCAGATACCAGACGGTAGAAACAGTTTTGTTGATTAGCAGGCTCGTTCGAACCAGCCGTATTACTTTGTCGCATCGCCAAGGAATGTTCTCACCGGCAAGCTATAAGTATCCCACGTAAAATGTTGACGTATCGTGCGAATGCGATAGATATTTTAAAAGATAACTAATAGAACATACGAATGAATTCTGAGCAAATTTTAATATGCGTTAATTTCTTCACTCATTGACGCGTACAGTCCGCAAAAATGTTTATACTCTATAAAATCTTTGGAGTGGAATCTAATTCTAGAGTGAAATCTCACTTTAAAAAATTGACAATTAAGCCACTCTTTTTCAACACTGACTCAATTGTCATTCTTTGTCATTCTTTAGAATTATATTCCACTCCAAAGATTTTAAAGAGTTAGTAACTCTCAATTCAATTGAGAAATCTTCAATATTTCTATTTCACTTTGAATCCTTTCAATAAACGAGCAAATGAGAATCATAAAAATGACAGCGACATTCTCTCGCATGGCGTATAAATCCGTATCTGCTCATATCTCTCGGCTCGCTCATCTTGTGATAAAATATTTCCGAGGTAGCTACCGACACATCGCTCCGAAATTCCTCGTGGCTGCCGTACGCAATTAATAAATATCGCCTGGTACAATTTACGATCCGCGTTACATCGTTAATCACGCGCGCGCGCGCGCTCGCGCTCGGATCGCCGATGCCGCCTGTTCCGGACGAAACAGGTGAGGAATCGATAACAGAGATGCATTAGAATATTATGACCTTTCAAAGTGCATTCGGTGATTCACCGCGGGAGCCGCGATAGCGCGTTATCGCCGCGACTACTCGCGGCGCGGGTCGATGTTATCGCGCCGCTATACTCTCGGCTAATCGAGACAAGCGAGAAAGGGAGAAAAGGAAGAGGCAGGGTGCTGACCTCGCTTCCTGAATCGTTCAGGGCGGTGGCATCTCTCCGAGGAGGCTCGGCGAACGCGGAAAGCGCTGTTCAGGCACGTCGCGATTGCGCCAGTATTCGTGCAATCAAATCAACTAGATAATCTTTGATTTCAGCCGACAAACGTCAGCTCGTTAAGCTATTCTTCATCGTCATGCATTATTCGAAAACGACTACGTGGCAGACACGATCTACATTTTCACATTTAAATTTCACATATTATCTATGTAATTAATTAGTTCTAGTCTATATTTTTATTAGATCTGTTTTAATCTCAATTCACGTGGCAATATAGAAAGCCTATTTTATAATTCTACGACTCCAACAGGATAAAACATTATTAATTTTTAATAAGTTTTGAAATAAAATTGTAACAAACAATCTTGATTGGGTCTCGCTAATCTTCAGATCAAAGATATAAACTGTATTCAATTCTACTTTTTGCAAAGTGAGAAAAAATCGTACATTGCAACGAAACGGTTGAAATTTGTACGGACTTAAATTTCAATACAGGTCCCCATTTTAATATCGAGACTTAGGAAGTTACGTCTTTAAATTATAATCCAGAGCGAAAGAGTATTAATCTTAATAATAAGGAAATCTCGCAATACTTAATTTTCACGCTATTACATTTTCAGCGTCACGTGTCTCGTTCGTTCCTCTTTCTTTTTCTCATTTTTTTTTATAAAACGCCTTAAGCACGAACGAGAAAATTACGCGTACGCGAATAGGTCAAAGTAGCCGCTGCGTTGGATCGTGATTTGAAGTAATCTCGGTATGGATCGGCTGATACCGCAACCGGATGCCAGACCCTATCGTGTCGCCGTCGATTCTCCGCGCGTCCGGCAAAAATCCGCGCGCCTCAATGTCATTATCCCAAACGAGATAACGCCGCATCACCCCGGCTGGTGAGTCTCCACCGGCATAGTCCAGGGGCGAATGCTTCCATCGGTAGGCGAGGTATGCGGCCTTACGCTGCGCGCGTAAGCGCACTCGCGAACGCGTGCACTCGCGGAGAGCCGCATTATCGTGGGATTACGTAAGCGGCGAGCCGCGGTATACGATCGTGCTTGTATTACGCTATAATTAGGATCGAGCCAGCCGTCGTAAACGTGTATGGATACACAGATATACATGCGCGCGCGCACACGAGTGCGACGTTACTTACGGCGCGTAATCCGCGCCGTATTAATAACCGACGATAAACATTAACGTGCATCGCGCCGTCCGAGTCTCTCCCAGGACTGGAGAAGAGGAGCGTAAACTGCCGCGCGCGCAGATGCCTCTACCGAGAAGTACGGATCTCGATAGCGCGGGATTAGAGAGCGCTTTTTGAAGGGAGAGGTCACATAGAGCGCGCTTTCCGTTTGCGTTATCAAAACACGGGGCTTGGTCTCCCACGACGAGCCGAGCGCACGATCGTCGGGAATATTTGAAATTCTGCGCGGAGTTCGTAACTTTTACCGCTGCCGTGAACTGTTGGATTGACTCTAAAACGACCGGTGCGATTCGGGTATTAAAGCGAGCAGCCGCGATAGCTTGCTGCAGGTTGCGGCATTTTTTTTTTCTAAATGTCCGCGTAATCGTCCGACATTAAGGAAAGCAAACTGGTTTTGCGTGTTTCTATCGAACGAACGTTTGACCGGCGCACGACTTACTTATCTTTAGCCTCGATCTTGCAAGCAAGCTGAAAAATCGCGGAAAGGTATACACTATGTGAGCGCATGTGGGAGATACTGCATTGTACATTGATGCTCGTGTATAGTTCTGCAGATATGAAGTCGCAAGTCTCGTTGATCATTGGCTACGTTTACACCGTGCGCTTAGTCCGCGACCTATACGATAGATGTCTTTGTTTAACCTACAGGATAAATAAGGACATCTATCGTATAGGTCGCGGTCTAAATGCACGGTGTAAACGTAGTCAGTGTCTTACGAATAACGATATTTTTTCTGAAAAAGGCCTTCTTCATGGACGCGGACTGTTGCTGATTGCTATACTAAACAAAATTTCTGGTTGAAAACGGACGAATCAAAATTTTCTGGCTAAATTTATTAGAATTCTAATTGAAATAACCGGAATTCTGGATGATACAATATTTCTGGTAAAACCTACTGGAATTGTTATTTTTATCAGAATAATTATATCAAAATTCTAATTATCTCAACTAGGATTCTAGTAGATCATTCTAATTCACCCATTTTCCATCAGAATTATTTATTTTTCTCATATTTTCTATAAGTATGCATTAATTAAATTATTTAAAATACACCGATAAATATTAAAAAATGTTAAATAATTTAAAATTTGAATTAATTTAAAATTTAATTAGTTTAAGATCTTTTATTATGTAAAAAAATTTTTTTAATTTTTCTTGCGTGAACATAATTGAAAAGTGAGTGAAAATCGCGCTAAAAAAGACGGTCATTGCTATATCTTGTAATTAATTCCTGATTAAGCGCTGCTAAATGAATGCGCTTACTAAATTAGTGATTACGAGTATGCGCGGCGGTGCAGACGAAAATCAAGATCTCGCCGTGCTCGTTCCCGACATGCGTTTGATTAATATCCAGATGTAATTACGCACTGCTTCGGGGGAAGGACGGATGCGAGAGAAGAGGGCAATCTTCTTCACGTTGTGTGTCTTTCGTCGGACTATGTGGGAGGAAGGTGAGAATAGAGATGAAGCACTTCGTAGGAAGAAAGAGGAGAAAGAACCAGAGAAAAAATGAGAAGAAAAGACGAGAGAAAGGGAAACAGCAGAGAACTCCGTCGAGCTGCCGACGAAACGAAATCCTGACAGATTTCATCGTGGGCTGACGTAAACAATTTGCGAATGTAAATACCTGTTGAATATTGAGCGTGCTGGCAGGGCCCACGGGGCCCCACGCCGGGCCCCCAACACCTTGCGATCGTTTACCCTTTAAACTCGTGATTACCATCCAGCACCGTCTCCCACCTACCGCGGCGAGGCGTGTAAGTCATCGGCATAAATTATACGTGAACATCGCGCGGCGATGCTGGGGATCCTCCTCGCCACTTCGTCGAGAAGAAGGTATCCTTCGGCTCTAACCGTCTGGACCCGCGCGTGCAAAGAATCGCAAAGTAGAAAACGATCGAGACATCCTTGACACGCGCGGATCTCTCTTAAAAAAAAAAAAAAAAGAATGTGTGTGAACCGGCGCTGACTCGTATTTTGCGCGTTTAAGAATTAAAATGCAAGCTTCTTTCGCTATTCATGCGACACGAGTCTCAGCTGATAGTTAAGTGAATTAAAGTCTGATGCGAATTTAATTCAATAAATGAAAAGGCTGATTAAATTACAAAATTGCAATCTCCTGCGGTGTTATCGCCTATCCAATTAACATTTGTACGTTGATATCGAAGATGTGCACTTTAGATCGTTTATCGCCTTATGGATTTAGGGCAATAAAACTCGGTGGCTCGTGTAGCATCTCGCCCGATTAATAAGTTCGTAGGGGCGCGACGCTTATCAACTTATCAACGATTAAATCACTCGGATGATTCCACATCGTGGCTTCGGTACATGGAGGCAGTGGGTAAGAACGTGTGTCGAGATAATTGGTGATCTCTCGATCGATCTCGATGCTGATAAGTGGCAACCGACATTTCAGATAACTTTCTCGCTTCCACCGCATTTAATTACCATCGTCGATTATAACGGGAACGCAATGCGTATCGCTAACGGTTCGTGATAAACGCTTATCCGAACGCTGAGCAATGCTCGCTCGCGTATTTTCCGCGCGCGTGACTTTTCTGCGATCGTTCCCCGCGTGCGACGGCCTAATCCCAGTACTGTGTCAAGGGAAACATCTCCACACGTCATAAAACTGGATCGCCCGTCGCGCAAGATCATAACTATATGAAAAACAAAAGCTCACTCACCATCCTGGTTCATTCCGTGGCCGCCATCATCTGTTTGAAACAGAAAAAGAGAATTAAGATGTGTAAATTGAAATCTGGAGAGAGATGCGTAATCGAGATTATCGTCAAATCATACGTGTACATTTAAAGAAACAACGCAAGAAACAGCATTTATTTGTTTGTATTTGAAATGTTTGATTGCGTATTAATTGAAACGTTACAACTTGTAATCACGTGTCGTTCTCTGAATTGCAATTAGTATCCTCGACGAAGCAATACTTCTAGAGAGCAAAAGTAATAAAGTATATTCTAATACAAAGTAAGGAGACACTAATAACATTCCTGGACTCTATTTGAAAATACAATGTACGATGCATACCGTCAATATATAAATAATATTGCGTAATGTTGGAAGAATTTTTTCATTTCCGACACATCTAAGAATATAAATCTATCAAAAACGGGAGCCTTGCAGTACGTTCAGCAACTTCCCCGATAGGATATCACGAGGAAGCAGACGAATACACCTCGTGAAGATTCAACATCACACGTTGCTGCGGATCATGACGATTTGCAACGCGCCAGCGATAGCAACCTGCACGGCAACCTATTTGTACTACGGATCTGGTATCGCGCGATCGCGCAGTGTTCCTTTATTTAACCCCATAAATAACCACTGCTATCTCACCCCGAATGTTCTTCTATAGGCAACGGACAACGTATACGTGTGCATACAGTAAAACGCGTTTCGCACACGGTGCGAAATATATTAGATGCTGCCAGTCATTCTGGTGTTGCGCGAGTCTGGCGCGATGGGAATCCCCATAAGCGATCCGTGCGTCCATCCAGCGGAAAGAATAACTTTTGCGAGGAGATTAAAGCATGGTATGTGTTACTCGTTCGATAATGGTTCGCACGTTTAATCCTCCTTCAAGATATATGACGTCAAACAATTTAAACTACACTGAAAAACATTACTAAACTAAATCTTAGTACATATTTCTTTGAATAGTACTAAGTAAACGTTTACTTACAGTAAATAAGTATTTATCCAATAAAAAAAATGATAACCAAATTAATGATTTTTGTTTCAAATAAATATATGTTCACATTTAAATATTTACTCAGCATCATTCAAATAAATATTTATTAAAATTTAGTTTTTTCAGTGCATAATACTTTTTTATAACACATCAAATAGTTTGCTGTTATGTATTTGTTTATATTTTATCTACAGTACGAGATGCACAATACGAATAATTGATCACCGTTTGCGATGGAGCTGCATATGCAAATAATTACAAATATATTCTGTGAGAAACGTAGGCAGTGATTAACAGCCATGTCGTTTCTTGTAACATTGCATTCTTGAATATCACAGTATCGTATTTTAATATTCGTATATTAATATACGAATTGCTAAATAAGTCGCTTGGTGCACCAAGCAGTCAAACATACCGAGCGACCCGCACGTCTTACGCAATGCGTCCAGATTGACGTCTAATATATCGGAGAAAGGTTTTGATAGATACCTTTTTACGAGGCAATTTAGAGAAAATGGAATGTTCGCTGAATTTAGGTGATTGAAATCTTCCACGCCGTTTTACTTTTAGATAATCACTTTCTTTTCGCGGCAGTTTCGAAAAAAAAAAAAACCATCTCATTACGCTCTCTGCGGTATCGTTATACAGCCGACGTTAAATCGGAGGCTTTTCGATTATCGAATAACGGACAATCCGGGTATAAATGGAGCAACGATTAGTCACGACTGCGAAATCGAAACAAAACGGACCGGACGGCGATTCGATCTCTCGCGATGAGAGGTGTACGAAATAATTACTACGTCGTAAGGTCAATAAACCATATAATTCACTACGATTCGCATTGCGTGTTCTATACACGACACGCACGCAGGTGGCCATTAATTATAAATTAATTCCATTGCGTGGTTACGCACCATTAGAGATAATCGAAATCCGTTATGCATTGCTTAGCGATTGCTTTAGTGACGCATAATTTCAAAGGTGCAATTAAAAGTAAATTTGTTCTGCGAGCAACGAGAATCAGAAGTAGAGACTACAAGCACGAGAGTTATATGCTCTCTTAAGAAACTTAATATTGTTCGCAATAGTTGATCATTAATATGAAATAATGATGTATGTATGAGACACGTTGGATACGCGTGTGGCCCTAAAATTGATCCGCGGATCTCTCTTTGTCAAATACGTTGATATCATTAGATTTAACGATCCCTGTTGACTCTCTCTTTCTCTTCTTCCCTTTCTTCCTTTCCTGGTCTCGTGGCTCATGCCGCGTCACTGGCTGCTGCCACGGCGGCTGCCTTTCATCTTCCTTAACCAGCGCCACTCTCTACCACCACGCACATATTCATTTATGAAGACGAGAAGAACGAAGGAAGACAACGAGCTTCTACATCAACGCAACCAACCGTTGGCTGGAACTGCTGGAAGACACTACCGCTTCGGAGATGATCCTGACGTATCCATGCGTGCACGCGCGTCATGCACGCATGGATACGTCAGGATCATAAGTTTGTATGCGTTCAAAAATATATCTATGTGACGATCGCCCACCAAAGAAGAAACTATCGCTTCTAAAATAATCCTGTCATGTCTGTGTCAGGCGCGTATGTATCTGTGTATCTGGAAAGATCTCTGCGCGATGCACCGAGCAAGTTCAGCTAACTCGATTGTTCCGTACGGAACAAGGAGCTCTTTCACGCGAGAGTCTCGTTCCGGCGGTCTTTGATGGAGAAATCATCGTTCGCAGTGTCCCCCGGTAACATCGCTCCACCGGATGTATCGCCGTCGATACAGGATTTAATAAGCTTGCGGTTTATAGCGAGATAATGATGATAAACGGTAGGAAGCCAACGGGAGCGGGAATATGGACTTTTGAGTGTTAAACACGCTTTCACGTGCAATTCGCAACTTCGAGTATTGATAATTGTTTAGAAATTAATAGATTTAATAGAAATAAATAGAAATTAAAAGATTTAATAGAAATAATTCTACATTGAATATAATAGAGAAACGCGTCAAAGTTAGATGTTTTGAATAATATATTCCTTATTAAATCAATTTATTTCAGATATGATTGCGCGCCGATAACTTTCGAACTTTCAACACAATCAGTCTGAAACGCTAATAATCCCCCCTAAATTAAATTAGAAAAACTGTAAAAAACTTATTGCGAAAAATATTACCTCAATCAGAGTTAGAATCTAGGATCTAGAAATATTTCTATTTTTTTATCAAAACGGATTTTAGTGCTTAATAATATTAAATGCAAATATTTGCAAATATATTATTTCAGTTTTATAAACTACTGGCTGAGGCAATATTTTTCGCAATACATTATTTACAGGTGTTTAAGATGCTTATTAACATCACTATTGAATGAACGGTTAATCTAATTTGAGATATTAATTTCAGCTTTAGGTTGCGATTACGTTTTAAGTCTAACTCAAACTATATTGGCGCGCAGTTTATATATCCGCTTTGACTGAAAATAGGATTATTTCTTATAATTGATTTATTCTCGTCGGCCTAATTTTGATGTATAATTAATGATCGTGTATAGAAACGCGATGTATAGAATTTGCGATGAGTAATTTATGGATTTCTCCTAAGAGACGTCAAAATAAATGCACCGCCTATTTCGAACGATAAATATAATTACGAGATAATTTATATGATCTAGATGAAATTATCATCACAATTAAAAATATCCAGCGAACTTCATGTTTTAGAAATCCATTTGATTGGTCAGATCTTTCATCGTAAGAAACATGCGCGTGATGTCGAGGATTTCGCGAGAGAGCCGGAAAGCGCATTCGACGGATTCCGGAATTCCAACTTGACTCGGCGAACATGATGCATCGTCATCGCGTGCGCATAAGTCGTCAGTAATAGAAGCGTCGCCGCGGACGAAGATTTATCGCCGGTATTTCGCAAGGCACGTGCCTGCACTTTTTTGCGACTATACGACATTCCTATCGACTGTGCACCGTACTCGCGTTTAAGCCACACCGTTCGCTGAACGTCGATTGACGCGTACGTTGTCTTGTTCTTGACGTCAGAGTAATCATTGAGCGCGATATCGAAAGACAGACTAATTACTGGTTATGGTATATCGTGTATATCGCGCTAGTCAAGAATTTATCTGGTATTGGTTGATAATACGAAAAGAATAACGGTTACAGCAACATTTACGTTAATCATTAAGTTCGATTATAAAAAGTTATAACTATTAATAAATGTTAATTATCACAAGAATTGATCGTGTTATTTTATTTATTGTAAAAAGAATACTTTTGTAAGATCAAAAAGAATTGTCTGTTATTAGCAGCTTCTTGTGATAATCATCTTAGCATTTTACATAATAAAAAAAATGGATTCGTAAGAAGAAACATACGTTTTTTCTTGGAGTCCTCATGCATACCTCCGGGTGTCGCAGCACCATGATTATGATGGTGAAGAGCTAGAGGATCCTGGGGATGCGGGTGAATGGCGGCTAAGGCACTTCCGGCTGGGTCACCCGGATTGACCCCGACTCCGACCCCCAGATGTAAAGCACCATGCTGCGTCGCGTGTGCCGGAAGCTCCATGCTGATCATAGCACGCCACCCTTCTTCCAACCCTCTCCTCCCGCCACCCTCCTCTATCTCGGACAACACCTCGCCGAGTTGGACGAGGCGTCCGTTTAACTTCTCGTCGCCTTCTGAGAAGGAATAAAAATTCGATTAATAACCTGAAAAAAATTTTCAATTTTCTCTATAAAATAAACTCAGTTAAGGTGGCTGTACGGAAAAGATGGCCATAGGATTTCAAAATGATTACAAAAATGCTCTATTTTAGCAATTATTAGAGAAATTATAGTCTGTGGTCATCTTTTCCCTATGGCCGTAATACCTGAGTTTATTATCATAGGGAAAAATTTTAAACTTTCGAGTCGTGATCGTTATTGCGTAAATGGAGTTAGGAATGTGCAATTTTCAAAATTGTGGATCGCAGTAAATGCGACTTTTATTATATATGTGTATATCATACATTTGTTCAACTATTTATTTCTGTCGCATTAATAACCTTTGGTAAGTTCAGAGCAGTGACAACTGAATAATAAAAAATGTTAATTGTTAGAACACAGCAAATACAAAAACATTTGTTTTTTAGTGTAATAGCATTGAAAAATCCGTAATAAAATTCGGAATACGTTTTCAAAGAAAAATCCTTTACGAAATAGAAATTATATCGGTTTCTTATTGTTAGTCGAATTATTTGCAAGGCTTAAAAGAATCAAAGAACAAGTATAAAATACTAATCGCAAGCGTGATTTTAAATCATATGTGATTAAAAGGTCAGCAGATTCAAGAAAAAAAAATCACGATGCTTGCGATATATCGCAAAATCGCATTGGTGGAATTTGTGCCTTCAAGTTTCTGCCGAGTACGGATTTTCGGTCAGTGACTCGTGGTCGAATCAATGGTGCAAGAATACCGTAGACAAAGTCTCAAGCTGACCTAGGCGTAGACTTCCACCGCGGATCGGCGAGAGAGCCCCACGCGGCAGGCGGGATCACAAAAATAAGTCTCGGTGGTCCAACCGCGGTGGAATTGCCTTTGCCACGCTTTTTACGCGCGGAGTAGATAATTTCTTCGTTCCTTTCTACGTAATGGCCTGGCCGGGTGATCTTTTTTGCTTATTACGTCGAGAGGAGGCCGCCGCAGAGAGCGAACGACACACCAACGACGGCTAGGTTGGAAGACTATAGGAGGCAAGGTGAGATCTCTCGGATGAATGAAAGGATGAATGGAGCGTAATTTCGTCCACGCTGTCGGCGACGTTTACCTATTGGACCGTTCTTCCATCTCGGCGAGCGTATTGTCTAGGTTCGGACGATCACAGCTTCTCGCGACGCGCGTTGCAGCTGCTATGGTAAAAAAATGAAGAGCATATCGCCGGCCAACTGCGAGTTGAAAACGCAAGCCTCTGTCTTAGATTACAGCGATCTATTTGTCAAACTCCTTTATCAGGATATTCAGCAATATTTCCTCTGTCATAAAACGCACCTGCTTCGGTGAATTTTATAGTGGCTTAATCACGGTGATATATCTCTATTTGGACGATATAAAAGTCGTGCATTATAAGAGAGTGAAGCGATGTATAAGTCGAGATATTCGCGCTCGACTCGATAGCGTATATCTGTATTATCTGCGCTGCATTCCGCGAATACATAATGTAAGCGTTCGGTAAAAAAATGTCAATACAGCTTCTTCCTGTTCTCGCGGACGTATATTCTGCGGGGTCCATTACATTGCCTTGCAAGGGGAAAGAGACTTTGAGAGTCGGGAGCAACCGTCAGGTACACCAATCGTCATCGGGCGGCCATCCGTGAAATTCGAAACTGCTCCCGCGTTCCGCCGTTTTACATCGCGAAACACGCAGATCTTATAATGCGTGGGAGTGAGACTGGGAACGGTTATCGTCTGCGGTCAACGACTGTCCAGCGCAGCAAGCGTACCGTCTTTGTATTCTCGTCGACGATTAAAATCTCGACAGGTTCTAATTTGCGTGAGGAAGTCGGTCGTATTCGAAACGCGAATCTCTGCTAAGGGTCGTTGTGTTCTGCTGTACAAAATAGATTCGAACTTATACAATATGTAAATTGTACACAAAAGGATAAATCTACAAAGCTTTATACAATATGTAAATTGTACACAAAAGGGTAAATTTACAAAGTGTAAAAATAAGCACGTCTATCTTATTTGCACTAGATTCCGTGAAAATACTCAGCAATTTACTCCTTGAGGTATCACTTTGTAGAGTCTCAATCTGTTTAAATCGTTCGCCACATTAACCCCGACAGTGAGAGTCTGGAGTGTCAAGTTTTAACTCGACAAAAAAGTGAAACGGATCTGCAGGAGGGAAACGTTAAAATTGCGTTCTCAATTTCCCAACCGTTTTCTCGTAACAAGAAAGGTCAGAAAGAGGGTTTGTTTTCTATTTATCGACGTTCAGATTATCGAGCGCGAGGGATGATTGTTTAACGTCGTAGTTTCCTAGCAAAGTCCGCTCTTCTCTTGCGGACTCGTGCTACCAGCGTGCGGTGCCCTTCTAATGGAGGATGGAATGTAGCAAGGCTACACTGTGGCGAGTAAACGTCGGTTAAGAGAAGGCAGACGATGATCGTTCGGCTAGGGGGCGGCGGTGAAACGGTCAGCGACTTAGGCTATGAACGGCCTTAAGTAAAGTAAAGTGGGTGAGTTGTAGACGGCCAAAGTACGCGTAAAGACCAGCCTTAGAAAGAGAGACTTATCCCTATAAACCGTGGGAGTCGGCCACCAGCGCTTCTCCAACCGACTTGCACGGCATATACGCACTCGCTAAAACCATTGTTTACGGCCACTCTGAACGCCCGCGTACTTTACTAACTAGGCCCTCTCATGAGGCCCCGCCACGAGACCGAACCGATGCGCCGGCTACTCTGTACGTCTTAAGGCAGGAGGTTACTGTCGGATGTAGAAAACGCCGTCCTGTACCACGCTATCCTGAAAACTATTCATAGCTGGAGCCCAGAACGAACCTGCGTTTGCATATACGATCGACGTGCATCTCGCGTGTGGTCGAGATCGCGGATGTTCCCGCCAACTTAAATAACTGGCCATCGATCTGTTTGAAGAAACTCTCTTTCAATTAGAGCATCAGTGAATGACTGCTTAAAGAAATATCATTAAATAATTCAGCTTAATCAAATAGCTTTCTTCTTCAACTAATATTCTACGAATTATCTTGGTATTTACAATAGCTAATTGTTTTTAACGTATCTCGCTTTCACTCGTGAGAGACTTTGCAATCGATAAAACCGCATCGAGTGACCATGTTGAAATAACTTACTAAAACATTCAATTCGCCAAATATCCTTTCGATTATTCAAAGAGGAGAAACTAAAGACGATATTCATATAGCACGTGCACTGAAAAAAAGCATTTGGTAATAGCTACTAAATATTGAGTGAAATAATTCTGATGAAATATTCGGTTAATATAAAGTAATTTTACTTTTCTAAATATTTAGTAAGTATATATTACCAAATATAACAGTATATAGCTAATCATTTGGTAATATACTTATCAAATATTTAAGGAAATGAAATTACTTTTAGTTATATTAACCGAATATTTGATTGGAATTATTTCACTCAATATTTGATAGCTGTTACCAAACAACTCTTTTTCAGTGTAGATCTCTTACATAAACAGTAATAGTCCGAGGCCGGCTGGCAGTTCAACTAGTCGAAGGAGCCCATGCAGTAGCTGACGAAACGTGTAGCTACCTTATGCACCTTCTATCTCTACTCTTCTGCCTTCGCTTCAGCGTCGATATCCCAACTGGTTGGTAATGGCGGTGCTCTCGAGACTTAACAACGCGTGACAATATGCATCAAGGAATTGCTCGAGCGCGGAACAACTCCGGCCGTGCTCCTTTCTCTCTATCTTTCTTTCTCTCTTTCTCTCCCGGCTTCCGTAAAACGAAGCCCACACCTACGAAGAACAGGCGTAGGTGCGTATATCCTCCACCGTGTGCGCGCTCTTCATGACGGGACAGCTACGTGAGAGAAGCCGCGAAACGCGCTCAGCTTCGGACTCTCACAGATAAAAACGTCGATACATTATGCAACTCCTCGGTCCATAAACGAACACTCCCGCCAGGAATCTATGGCGGAATCCTGGGAAGCTCTTCTGGTGGCGTATATCGGCTATCCTGTTGAGAGGAGCAGTCTAGTTTTCGCGGGACGCTCATCATGTTTATTAATCTGATCTGGGATTGCCGACAATCTTGACGATTTTCTCCGCGATCTGCGAGAACGACTCGCAGATTTTTGCACTTCCGTGTTTCCACGGGTTGCATTCTTTCTCACGATAAAATTGATGATAAGATGCGAATTTAATAGACAACGGTGAAGGAATGATCAGTTTAGCTTTTTCTTCCTTTACCTATGAGGAAAAGACAAAACGTATCGGCTAGTCATCTTGCAGATTTTGTACCACCTTGTACGGTGAGTGTCTTTAAATATTCACGCCAAAGTATCTACTCTAGTAGTACCATACGTGCTCGATCAAGCTTTCAAGCGACAAGAAGGTGTCTCTCTTTCTTTCTCATTCATTAACCCCATTACCCGTACTTGGCCACCACATAAGCGCACACGGTGTACCAGCTCACCAGCAAATCACAAACGCATATATCTACATTAATAGTGGTATACAGAGTATGCCTCGTAGTCAGTCGTCTGTACGCCTACGCAATCATTATTATCGTCGCACGATCATTAATAACAACACAAAAATTTATCTGACTAATTCGAAACGCGACGTGCTGAAATCAAACTATTTTTATTCAAAAAAACATCGCAATTACAATCATTAATTTCTTTTAAGGGGATCCTAAAAGTCGTCTGTTTTACCAAGTGAATGCAGTAATTTTTGTAGAACGATATTGTACATATTATATATTTATAGAGAGAGAGAGAACGAGAGAGAGAGAGATTTGGAAATCCTCCAGAATTAAAGTATACGCATTATCTAATAATAATATCTGCAGCTTGAAATTTATGCGAGAATGATAAACATTTTTGAAATTGTGATCTTTTTTATCATTTCTTAATCCAAAATGGCGTCTAGAGCT